GTAGCTAATGAAAGCAGACGAAATTTATATAATTCCAATATGGCGTCTAAATTGGTTAGTTTTTACGACAAACGAAAGGTTTTACTTTTTAAAAGATGTTGTAGTATTGTATCTCAGAAATCACTTTCATCTTCGTGCAGTGGGGAATCAGTGGAAAAAGAAACACATACTGGTCAAGTAAAGTCGCATGAAAAATTAAAATAAAATATGAAAATAAATTTGATAATTAAATTTATATATATATATATATGTAATTAACAGAAATGGGAAGAAAGCGATTACAGACTTGCAAGATTCGTAAATAAATCTAAGCAAGTAAATCCTAATTGGGCTGTAAAATTAATAGCTGAAATTCCACCAATACCGGTTAAAGGAAGAGTGACATCCTGTGATGGAGGCAGTGGGCCAACTGGTCATCCCAAAGTTTACATTAATCTGGTATAAATTTTCTCTTGCTAAAAATTTTGTACATTTTTTGTAAGATATGCATATATTTATGTAGATGTAGATGTAGGTTGAAAAAAAAAAAAAGAAGATCTTTTACAAATATTTTTAATTTATTATTTTTAAAAATTTATTTACAGGACAAGCCAGGATATCATTCATGCCTGTATTGTGGATTAAGATTTTATAAAGATTGTGAATAACAAAAATTTAACTTATTATAATTGCAGTTTTATTTGTAAGTTTGTAGAGAATTAAAATAAAGTAAAGTATAAAATAAAAGTACTTCAATATATAATTTAATTTAATTTTTAATTATCTTCTAAAATGATTAAAAAAAATTTTTTTTTTTTTATTATAAAATAATTTTCACCAGAATAATTAACTGAAAAACTTAGTTTTTAACATGATTATAAGAAATTTATATCAAAATAAATTAATGTAAATCAAAAGAAATTTTAGAAAAAAATTAAATTTTTTTCTTCTTAGGATTTTAAATAAATTTTTTCTTGTACAATTTAATACATTCTTCTGTAAAAAATCAATAGTGATAACTATATCACTCATCTTGAAAAACAATAAAATTAATAATGTTATTAATCCATTCTACTTTTGCTTTTATTTTGATTGTTTCGAACAACTGAATTAGAATTTCTAGTGATGCTAGATTTCCCTCTACCCCCAAATTGATCTGTGCAATAAAAATATGTAAATTAATATTAACAATAAACAAAAATACATTTTTTTTTTTTTTCATTTTCAGTACATACTTCTTCCAGTGCCTCTTCCTCCTCTTTGATTTGAATTACTTCTGTTTTTCAATTCTCCCCTACCCCTAGATTTTAAAACTGCTTCTTCTTTAACCATATCGATTACTTCATCAGGAATTCTTACATATTTGATTGTACTACCTCTTATGTAACATTCAGGCATTCTCCAAAATTTATCTCCATCCTAATAAAAGTTGTTTAATTTTTAATAAATAAATGATAATAATAAACATTAGTATGTCAATTAATGATAATAATAAATTTAAAATTTTTTTTATGTTTAAAAACATACTAGAAGGCAAATTAAGAATAATTATACTTATTAGACAATAATAATTACCCTAGAAGTGCAAATAACTTCTCTTAGAATAATATTCATCCAATTATCACAACTCACTAGATGACCATTGTAAGTTTCACCATTTTTGAGTTCAACTAACTAAAAAAAAAAAAGTACTTAATATAAATGTGATAATAAAAAATGAAAAATTAACTACAATATATATTAAATTTTTTTTTTAATAGTAGTGATTTTAAAAAATTAAAAAAATTAACATTTATTCGAGTTGTAAGGTTGTACATACCATTGGATGATTTTGGGCAGTTTTTAAAAGTGACAGTGGAAGCTAAAAAAAAAAAAAAAAAAAAAAAAAATATATAAATTTTATTTACATAAGTAATGTGCGTAATAAAATAACAAATTTACAAAAACTATGAGAAGAAAACTTTTAAATTACTACAAATTATG